CAAAGGTCATGTTTTAAATGAGGCCAAGCATCCGTGCTTGGCGGCACTTTCCAGGTAAGTCAGGCAGGAAGCCCCTGCTGAGAAAGGAGCTGACCTTAACAGCAGCGTTCCCCAACACTGTGGCTAGACAGGTCACAGACCACAAGGGAGAACATATGACTATCATTCTGCTAAATAGACAGCATTAAATTGACACATAAGGGATTACTGTTATGTCCATATATCAGTGCATCTCTCAACCATCACCAAAAGTTGCAGCAGATGGTGATTAAAACAGAGAGCCACAACTGGTTGACACACAGAGAATAAGAGACTTCAGTGTCTTTCACCCTAAATGGAACACCTGTATCATATCCCCTCCACCCAAGGCTCAGGAATCATTGTGAGAAGAAGGACTTCTTTGTGTGATATTTGTGTGGTATGTACACACATGTTTAGAGCAGGGATCCCACTCTATCAGGTACTACCTTATTCCCTTGGGACAGCATCTCTCACTGAACCTGGAGGTGGTGGGGTTTTGCCTATGCTGGCTGGCCAGCAAGCCCCAGTGATAGGGTTTATGTGGGTGCTGGGAATCCAACGTCTGGTCCTCCTGCCTTCACAGTAAGTGTTCGTACCCACTGAGCCATCTCCCCAGCCCCGTTATTCCTTTTAAAATCTGTAACTCTGTCACCCTACAGCAGTTGGGAGTTAGTACTGTATTTATCATTACTGTTCTAATGTTAAACAGTAAACATGATAAGCTTTATATCCAGACCTCCCAGTGAGCCTGGGGCTCAGTGATGGTGTCTTCAACTTTCAGTGAAGGCCTCCTAAGCTGAGTAATAACTTATTTAAGTCCACATACAACTGGTAAGAAGTTATTTGTTGTGCATTTCTTGTTCGTTGCATTTGCTATAATATTGGAGGCTCAAGCATGCTAGGCAAGCATTCAACTTGATAACAAGTTTTAAATTTTTTATTTCAAACTCTGTGTTCCCAAATCTGGTTATTTTGGTGTGTCAGTAAACTAAATTCTCTAGGATGGGAGTACAGAGACAGAAGATTCAAGTCACAATTGCCAACAATGTAAAGAATGTTGTTAAACTTGTCCTTATTGACTGACATAGAGAAAGTAATCATTTGATATTTGTTGACTGAATGAATGTTCTTGGTAGCTCTCCCCATCCTGGACTTGTTCTTTCCCTCACAACACTAGAGTTGTCTTTTTCTTTTATGCGTTAGTAAGGTAGCATGTTATAAAGTGCCAGAGGCAGAGGAGGATCTTTTTCTCATGCATAGTGGGAAAGAAATTCAGAGTATTCAAGACCTGCCTTGCCACTAACTACTGACGAAGTGTTTGTTATCCTGTGTGTTTTTAGAGTTGGCTGCCTTGGGTTCTGTAGCATCTAAGCCTAAGCCGATGATCACCTTACTGCAGATGAGTTTGAATGGGAAGAGGCAGGGAGCAGGCTGTTAAAGTGTGGGCGTGGGAAGGGCAGCTGGGAGCAGTTGCTGTGTTTGAGCGGAGCACAGACCTCTTCTGACCTCTGCGGGCATTGTATGACATGGGTGCACTTACATTCATGCAGGCAATACACTCATACACATAAAATAAAAATAATGAATAAAATATTTTTTTAAAAGAAGCCAGGGCAGCTTCTGTTTCTCCAAGGACTCTGTGGAGGTGTGTGAGCTTAGCACTCATAGATCTGCCAGCAGTGTGCTGTGTGAAGCCATCTTTTAAAAGACATCTGTTGGACCTAGGAGTGGTGGCGCATGCCTGTAATCCCAGCACTCAGGAGGCAGAGGCAGGCAGATCTTTGTAAGTTCGAGGCCAGCCTACTCTCCATAGCAAATCTAGGCCACCTGTGGCTACAGGGAGACCCTGTCTCAAAAGGACCAAAAAGCCGGATGTGGTGGCGTATGCCTTTAGTCCCAGCACTCGGAAGGCAGAGGAAGGCGGATCTCTGAGAGTTTAAGACCAGCTTGGCCTACATAGTGAGTTCCAGGCCAGCTGGGGCCAGAGGGAGACCCTGTCTCAAAAAGACCAAAAAAAAAATATCTATTGGCTTTTCCCATGAAGACTCTTATCTGAATAGGTTTTTCTATTTAACTCAAACACAAGGCATATATAAAGTGTATTTAGAAGCAATTTATGTGCAAGACAAGGATATGTGTGCCTGAGACTCACTCCAAAATAAAATAATGGAAACTGGCTTTTCTCTATTCCCTGATATTCTCTCTCTTCCTAATAGGATGGTGATGTCATAGCCCCACTTATAACACCTCTGAAATGGAATAACAGGGATTCATCTTGCCTCCGAGAAGCATCCAAAGTCAAAACACAGCTAAAATTTTAAGTGAATGTCTGCAATTGGTTCTTTACAAAAACCTCTTCTCTTAACAATTAAGTTAGGGAACATAATCACTGAGGCCTACAGATTTAGTAATAGTGATTTTTATTTTGTATTTTGAATGTATGCACATGCTGAAGGGTGTCACTTTTATTAAAAAACCAAAAACTATATTAGCAAATTTTTGCTATGCATACTATGAAAAAGCATTAACTTGCCTGTTTTTAAAGTCAGTTAAAGCCTTTCTCCTTTAGTAATCTATTTTCTTAGACTAACAACTCTTTTTATCAACTCAGAACTCTTAGGACAAATGAATGTCTTTTGATTTTGATTTAGAAATTGTGACAAGGGCACAAATTGAAATTCAAAGTTGAAATCATCATGCACAATATAGTTTTAAAAAAACAACAACAAAATCCTAGCCCCTGAAGGGATGCCCATCACCCTGCTCCTCCAGTGAGCTAAGCACCAGAAAAAGCCCTCTTCCCTCCCCATCCATTCCCCTTAGTAAGCTGCCAGATTGAGTGAGCAGACTGAGAGGATCTAAGGGCATGCTAGGACGTGCTCTATTACTGACCTACAGCCTGAGCCCTGGCTTTCTCTTAAGTACACTCTGCAACCTGCTCTCTAGGACACGCTAGAGACAGAGGGCACCTCACACTAAGCTGCTCTCTGAATCCGTTGTGACTCCAGACACCACCAGCTTCTTCCTACCTGAAACCTCTCCACCCCAGCTCCAAGGGCCTCATCGCTGCCAGCCCGGAGAGGCCTCCCGTACGCCTGTTCTGAGTTGGACTTGACAGCTGCTCAGAGACCGTCACAGATGCTGTCCTTGGACTGCTCTCACCTGAGATTTTACTGCTGCTGCTTCAGAGCATTCTGGACTGCCTTTGTGAGCTTAGGGACTACCCAGTGGATCCCATATTCCCCTGTGTAACTTGATGTTCCCAGCAGTGCAGTGGGTGCCACCACAGCTGAGCAGGCCTGCTCTGCCTATCTCCTCAACCCCACTGTGCAGAAGTTTACCAAGAGCAAAGTCTGGAGTTGGAGCCAAGGTGGGTGGTGGTGGGACAGAGGTAGGAGCTGAAGGTGACATCTTAGTGCTCATGCTTCCCCTGAAAGAGCCCCCCTGGGGGCTGGGAGTGAGGTGGCATCCTTGGCTATGAAAAGCCACATAAGCCGTATAAGCCAGAGCAGCAGGGCAGCTCATATAAGCTGGCAGGTTCCCCATGCTGCCACTGTCCACTGGGTAACCAGGTTCCACTCCGTCTGCTCATGGCAAAGAGCATGTCTGCTGTCCTCTATAACCCTCCATCCCCCACAGAGAATTGGGGATGACTACCCTTCATAATAGGAGTGAACCCTTCCTCTCCTGCCTTGATGCCCCATTTGGGGAGGTTCACTATGGACTCATAAAACGCACAAGGGAGGCTCTGGCTTCCTAGTCATGGTGTCTCTGCAACATTCAGGGGAGACAGCCAGAGATCCCAACTTCATGTGTCCAGACTCTAAGTTAAGAATGTCGTATTTTTCTGCTAAGATGATTTTATTTCTGCCAGTCTTATTTTTTAATCATTGTGGTTTATTTACTCTGGAGTTTTGTAGTTCTAATTTTGTACTGTGCTATCCAGGAAACAATTCTGACTCTTGTTATATGCAAGGCAGCTGTACTTTATGCTGTTTGCAACTGTTTTAATTATGAGCACCATGTGTCATTCACAAGGCTAACCTCTGAAGAAGCATCTTGACTCTACAAAAATAGACATTTTAACAGCTTAGTCTCTGGAGTTACTGAACACTGTCACCTTGAGACTGGAAATAGAACTTCAGGTTTGAGTGATGGATGACTAAAGTTGGGTGAGGGAACAGCTGCAGTAAAGCTTTCGTGAATGTTTAGAAGCCAAAGGTGTGCTCCTTAGCCACTTTCTTCTCACACCCTGTGTGCCCAGGTTTAACTCTTGTGCAGTGTGTTGTGTGCAGTGAGGACGTGAGGACCCTCTCACATGCTTCTTAGTGCCACCGCACTATTCTCTGCAAGAGAGGGTGTGTTGACAAGGTCCTGGGTAGCTAGTTTTCCTCATAAAGAGCAGGACGTCACATGCTTCCCTCAGGCAGGAGGCAGGCACGGACATGGGCAGGGGGATGAAGCCTTCTCAGTTCACACGCTCTTATGCCAGAAAGTCTCTCTCTCTCTCTCTGTCTCTCTCTCTCTCTGTCTCTGTCTCTCTCTCTTTTCCTAGTCCCAGCCTGCCTAGAAGTCACTATGAGGAGCAGGCTAGCCTTGATCTCACAGAGATCTGCCTGTCTCTGCCTCCTGAAGGCTAGGATTAAAGGCGCCTGCCACCACACCTCTTTTAACTTTGCTGGGGTTCTGTTTACAGAGGTTCAGCTTCTTTTCCCAAATACACATATTGTTCATTTGCAGCTTTTGTGTCTTTCCCATAAAACCAAATAACGTATCTGTAAGCACCTGACCTACTGTTGTGCACCCCCCCCGCCCGCCACCTTCTGGGTTCTAGAAGAGACAACAGGGCAAGAGAAAGAATGATGCTGCATTAATTAACCTTTATTAGTTTCCAGGAGCTGAGCCCAAGTTTCTGAGATTTGACAACACTCTTCAAGTTAATCTCTAAAACATACAAAGCAGAATAGTGTGTGTGTGTGTGTGTGTGTGTGTGTGTGTGTGTGTGTGTGTCCATCCAGAAACTTGTTTGGAAGGACATACAAGGAAATGTTACTGTTTGAGGGAAGGGTTCATCCATTTCATTGTCTCCTGGGTGAATTGTCAAATTCCTATAAAGATAATTTTCATGCTTCTTCATAAGCGTGTCTTTCACACCTTCACAGTCACCTCTGCCAGAGAGCAGTGCTTGCCTTGGAACTGCAGGCCACAAGGAGGCTGACTGAGAGTCGCAATCACCGTGAGGGTTCTTCACCGTCCTGGGTCAGACAGAATGGCTGCCCTGTGTGAGGAAGGCCTGGGTGGTATCCACAAGCAACTTGGGCAATGGTGGCCGTGGGGAGTGTCAGCTCAGAACCCAGGCCTCCAGCTCCTTGATGCAAAACTGCTCCTGCCGGGCCAGCACTTCATTGTTGAAGGTGGCACAGGGGTAGCTTCCCCCATGGTACAAGTCTCCATCCAACCACAGCCCAAACTGGCCACTAGAAAGAAGAGGAAATGGGCTGGGGAGATGGCTCCGTCGGTAACATGCCTGCTCTACAAGCGTGAGGGGAACCAAGTTGGGATCCCCAGCACCGGTGTAAAAAGCCAGGCATAGTCACATGTATCTTCAACCCTAGAACTGGCGGAGTAGAGCTTGCTGGCCAGCCGGTCTAGTCTTGGGCAAGCCCTGGTCAGTTTCAGTGATAGACCCTGTCTCTAAAGATGTGGTGTAGATATATAGAGGAAGACCCCTGATGTTGACCTCTGCCTCAACTTGCATGTACACGTGTGCACACACACAAAAGAGGAAATCTTGGTACAGCCGTGTGTTTAGCTAGGACCATCATCAGCCTTGGCCACACCCCATATTCTCTTCCTTTACACCAATTTATCCTGAATTTAGGAGGCTCCTCCTGTTGTGCCCCCAGACACCAATGCTGTGCTACAGCATTCAGAGCATGTTTTAAACAATTCATTGGTTTTTAAGAACTATGTACAGTGCTATAGCATCACCGCAACAGTTTTGGAACATTCTAATCACATTTAACAGAAAACCTAGGCTGAAACCAGGAAGTGAATTAGTTGAAATCAGCAATATGTGGTGTGTTGTGTGCCGGGCTGACTCTTGATGGTGGCTCTTCAGGCAGCTGGGGCAGCAGAGAACTTGCATTATGGTCATCAAGCCTTCAAAATAAACTTAATGTTTCTCAGTGTGAAAGTCACATCATGAAACCACTCTTCCTTTGCTTCCTAACTCGTTCCTCCTCCTGTCCTCAAACGCCTCCTCTAATGAGCTATGTTCTTTAGATGCAAAACTGCTCCATGGCCAGGCGAGGTGACACACGCCTTTAATCCCAGCACTTGGGAGGCAGAGGCAGGTAGATCTCTGTGAGTTCAAGGCCAGCCTGGTCTACATAGTGAGTACCAGGACAGCTGGGGCTACAGGGAGACCCTGTCTCAAAAAGACCAAAAAAAAAAAAAAAAAAAAAAAACAAAAAAAACCTTATGTTTGCCTTTCTCTTGACTATAGTCTCATCCAACCACTAGAATGTTCTCAAAGTTACATTGGTTCGGACTAAGCTAATACTAACCCTAACCATTTAGTGAGGAGTTCACACATCTACTCTACTCACTTCTTGGCTTAGAGTGGGGTTGAGTGTGTCTTGGAAAGTGGGCTGTGATGTTAAAGCTAGAAGGCAAGAGGTCAGCCTGAAAGGGAACCACCAGCCTCCATTCCACGTGGGGCATCCACACCCAGAAGAAAGAGGAGCAGTTGCCCCAAGATTTGGAAGAAGAGACCACACCCAGCAGGGAGAAGGGCACAGGCTGTCCCAAGCATTGGGAGGACAGAGACACGCACCTTCCACTGCCCATCATCAGTGAATCCAGGTCTCCTTTCACAAAGAACGAGTTGCTTCCTGTCCACTTAAAGACCTGGAGGCAAAGGAAAGGCTCAGGGTCACTTGGGAGCGCTTGCAGTCTGACTGCTAGCCACATGGTGGCAGTGTTATGTAGGGACCAGAGCTGCCTGGGCCCACCTGAGCTCCTGGACCTTGAGATTTCTGTCTCCTTGGAGCGCACCCTCCGCTTGTGCCCTCTATCTTGGATTCTCACAGCCTAGCAGCGCCTTCACTCTAAAAATAGAACAAAACCTCTGACGCTTCCTGCTTCTAAAGCTAGAAAGAGAAGAGGCCAGGCCTGGAGTGACGG